CTCCGTTCTCAGCTTCCGAGGGTACAGTGCCTTCTCTTCTGTCTGTTAAACGTGCTTCTGCATCCCTCTTATAACAATCATCCCTGTGTAAGGACACATGTGATCACTTTACAGTTCATCGGACGTTCCTGGATAATCTCACCATGTCCATCCTTAGCTTTCCAAGCTCCACCTTTTTTTCTCAACCTTTTGTTTCATCTCATCTTTTGACTTATTTTATTGACGTTTTAGTCTTTATTTTGCAAACCACTCCTGAGAAGTATTATTCCCTTCCTTGGCCTATGTTCTAGATGGGACTCCTTATTTGTCTCTGCTTCCTCCCTTCCTTTGATTTTTATACATTGTGGTGTGTTGCATTGTTGCGATGTCATTTCTTCTTATCTTGTTTATGCTTCATATGGACAGTTCTGTCCAGACTTCATATTTTCTCTGACTTGTCTAGGGCAGGCATAGCTCCTTGCCAACCCTCCCACTTGGGACCTCTTATCTTCCACTCCAGGCTACTTCTGAGTGCCTGAGGATGCTTTCTATCCACTTCTCCGTCCTCTAGGTTGTAGGCGAGGATGGAGAGCTTTCTGGGGTTGAGTATACTCACAGGCAGGGATAGAATTCCATTCCCGCGGGCTTTGCCGTATTCCACTTGCCTCAGCGCGGGGCATGCCTTGTATTCTCTCCTACTTGTGCTGGGAGCCGGTATGTACATCGTGGTTTATTTGCTCCTTACCTTTTCGATGGTCATTTAGGTTTATTCCAGGCAGGGCTTTAACAATCATCCTGTGTATTACATGCTCATGCTATTATTTCTGAGTAGATTATACTGGGAATTAGTATTGTGGGGCCAAAGAACATCCGTTGTAGAGAGTACACCAATTTACATACTCACAATGTTGTGTACGCATTCCTATTTCTGAAGAGGCACGTCCATAGATACAGAAGTTAGATTAGTGGTACCCAAGGGCGGGAGGTGGAGTGTGGCTGCCACAGGGTTTCTTTTGGGGGTGAAGTTAGGTACTGTTGATGCTTGTGCAACTCTGAATATATTAAAAACGATTGAATTATACTTTTAAAGGTAAAGTTTATGGTATGATATCTTTATTTTTTAAAAATTTTTATTGATTTCAGAGAGAAGGGAAATGGAGAGCTCTCATTAATGATGAGAGAGAATCATTGATTGGCTGCCTCCTGTATGCTCTCTGCAACCCAGGAATGTGCCCTTGACTGGGATCGAACCCGGGACTTTCAGTCAACAGGCTGATATTCTATTTCACTGAGCCAAACCGGTTTTGGCCTGTGCTCCGTACTGTCAGTATAATAGATATTTCTAATTTTTAAAAATATTGCTAATAATTTTTAAAATTTAAATTTTTATTAGTGAGATCAGGTATCTTTTCATGTACTTATAGACTATTTGTAGTTCTCTGAATAGCATTTTATTCTGTACTTCATGTTTTTTGTGTGTGTGAGAGGGAGGAACTCTTTTTAAACTTGTGATACTAGTTAATTTTTTATCCTTTATTATAGTCTGTTTATGGAATTAAATACTGACATGGAATTGAATATTTCATCTGCGACTTATTTTTACCTAGGATATGAAGGAGGAATTAGCTTAATTTTTTTTTAAATGGAGTCCATATCATGAAGGGCCTATAGATTCTCGTAAAGAGTTTAGGTTTTATTCTGAGTGTGATGGGAAGCCATGGGGTGTGAGAGGGTAGCAATGGTTTGATCTGATATAACTCCAAGGTTATTCTGATAGCTCTATGGAGAATTGGTGGTAGGAGATGTGCAGGAGGCAGCCTAAGCTGTTTCCTTCTCCTCCTCCTCTTCCCTCTCGCTCTAAAATTAATAAAAAGAATATAGTATATGAATACCCATATGTTCCATCTTCCAGCTTCAAATTATGTCACCTGATATTCAATCTGGTTTTGTCTCTTCCACATTTATTCTCCTCTATAATTTTGAAACAAACCTTACATTTATTATTTCATCCAGAAATACCTTAGTATACATCTTTGAAAGGCAAGAACCCTTTTTTGTTGTTATTGTTAATCCTCACGCACGGATATTTTTTTCTTTGCTTTTTAGAGAGAATGGGAGGGAGGGAGCGGGGAGAAAGAGAGAAACAACTAGAAACAACTATTCATGTCTGTGTTTGTATAAATAATTTATCTGAGTCAGGATCCAAAGTAAAGTTCACACTGCAGTAGGAGATAGTTCTTTTAAGTCTCTGCATCTGTAGGTTCCTCCTCCATAAACCTTTCCCCCTTATTGTTTTAGTTGTTGAAGAAACCAGGCAATTCATTCTTTTTGCTTGTTTTGTTTTATTTTTGTTAATCCCGACCAGAGGATATTTTTCCCTTTTTTTTTTTTAATATATTTTATTGATTTTTTACAGAGAGGAGGAGAGAGGGACAGAGAGCTAGAAACATCGATGAGAGAGAAACATCGACCAGCTGCCTCTTGCACACCCCCTTCCGGGGATGTGCCCGCAACCAAGGTACATGCCCTTGACTGGAATCGAACCTGGGACCTTTCAGTCCGCAGACCAACGCTCTACTACTGAGCCAAACCGGTTTTGGCTGTTTTGTTTTGTTCTTTGTTTTTAAGAGAGATTGGAAGGGAAAGGAGGGGGGGGGGCATCAATGTGATGGAGACATATTGATGAGGTTGCTCCCTGTACGTGCCCTGACTGGGATGGGACCTGCAACCTAGGTTTGTGCCCTTGACTGGAAATCGAACCCACAACCCTTCTGTGCGCAGGCCAACGCCCCCACCAGAGTCACACCTGCCAGGGCAATATAATTTGTTCTTTACCCTCATGCCATTTCTCACCGTCTGGATGTTGCTGGTTATATCTCCCTGTAAAGTTGTAATAGGTTTTTATCTGTGTTTTCTGTACATTTGGGTTGGTGTATGCTTGTGATAATGCTGCTGGATTCATCTTGCTAACATTTTATTTAGGATGTATGTATATCATAAAACACTTTTTGTTTTTTAGTGTGTTTTTTTCTAAGGTTTTAGTATTAAGGTAATGCTAAGTGATTGATAAGACTTCCTTTTTTTTCTTTTTCTTTTAGGAAGTAATTTGTATAATTTTGGAGGGAAATACCTACCACTAACTATCTATCTGATAGTTTTTATAGAGAATCTGTATCTGATTTTCAGGATTAGATAGTTTTAAACTTACTTTATTGAAATGATATAACCTTGGTATGAAAACCTGATAAAAAGTAGCACAAACTGATCATTTGCATGTAAAAATTCAAACTAATGGTCATCAGATCACTTAAAGGATGCAGCATGGTGAAGTTGGGTTTATCACTCCTTAAATATTGCTTCACCCATCCACCTTTTACAAGTTTTTATCTGTGTTGCCACTACCATCACTTCTTTCCTGTTGGCCTCTCTGCCTCCACCTGTGTTTCTCTGAAATTCCTTTTTTCATGTTGAGTTTTCTCTAAAATACAGCTGTGATCATGATGTTCTTACAAGTTTGTATAGAGCAACAGCTGTGGACCAGTTGTGCATTAAGCACGAGAGGATACCTGCCCTCATCGAAAGTATAGTCTAGTAGGAGAAATAGATGATCAAATCATGAATATGCATTATAGATACAGGGGTGGGCAAAAGTAGGTTACAGTTGTGAATGCAAAACAGAGTTTATTCTTGTAGCATTAATTATTGTATTATTTTCCATATGAACAACTGTAAACCTACTTTTGCCCCCTACATGCATGAATAAATAAATAATGAACATATATATTATCCTATATAATAAAAGCATAATATGCAAATCGACCAAACGGCAGAATGGCTGGTTGGCGGTGGCGAGCAGGCTTCACCAGGCCAGCCAAGACGCTTGCCAGTGGGCAGGGGCGGGGATGGTGATTGGGGAATGGGAGGGCACCAGCGGCAGAGGAGGGTCTATCAGGAGTTGAGGCTGGCCAGTTGCCTCCTGCAGAGGGAGGTAAGACTGCAGCTTAGGCCCACTCCCCACAGAGCGGTCCTAAGCAATCAGGTCTTAAATCCCCTGAGGGCTCTCAGACTGCAAGAGGGCACAGGCCAGGCTGAGGGGGACCTCCTCCCCCCACCCGGTGCCTTGGGCCTCTAGTATAGTAATAATTTTATGTTCATGTATGTTAATTAAACATACATCCTAAATAAAAGGAAAGCAATCATGGCTATAGAAAAGAGGATAACAGAAACCTGATCTAAACTAACATTTAGGGAAGTGTCTCTTGAAGAAGTGATATGAGATGAAAGCCAAAAAAATGAGTATTAGATGAGGCAGAATAAGAGAAGGCCACCCCATCAGAGTGCATATGCAAAGGCCCTGTGGCAGGAGAGGGCACAGCATATATTAGATGCTGACAGAAAACAGTGAGCCTAGAGAGCAGGGATCCCTGGGGACCTGGTGTGAGAGGAGCTGGGGATTAGCAAGGCCAGACCATACAGAGCCCGAAGGCCACGCAGAAGGGTTTTGTTGACCTGTGGTCCTTGGGAAGTTATTGCTGGGTTTTAATCAGAGTTAAAAATAGGTCAAAGAACTTAGATAATAATTACTTAAAAAGAAATCTACAGTCATACTGGTTTTTACCGGGAAAGGTACTTTGGATAAGTGTTATGTTTCTAAAAATAGATAATCGCCTGTTGTGCCACATATTCCTGTGCTTATCAATCTAAATTCATCATATCATTTGCTCCTTGAAGGTAAGGTACATCCTAAGGACACTGCATTTTAATTAAGGGACTAGATGAGAAATGAAAACCCTGCGATCATAAAAAGCCTTGATAATGATACGGTGAAAGATTAGGGGAAATATTTATATAGGAATTGCTATCATATATTTCTCAAGTTACTCAGTAATGAAAAGCAGCTGACAAAGGGAAATAGTTTTTATCAAAATGATTATTGGGGGAAAGCTTTTTAAGCAGCTTGTCATGTGAAGGGCCTCTGAATTTATTTTTTCTAACACGTTTCTCTTTCTTTGCCTTTGTAGGAGAGTAGTTATTTTGATGGAGTTAGAGGTTTTGAAATCAGCGGAAGCAGTTGGAGCGAAGATTGGCAATCCACTGCCCTATAATGAAGGTAAAATGCTTTTTATAGGTTGTAGCACTCAAATGAATACCTCTCTATAGAGCTGGAAGTCTACCTTTTGGATTCAGTTTGATTTGTTAGTCTTAATAAAACTAGTGATTTGGGGGCCTGGGACCCAGGTTCTTTCCGTTTCGTTCAGGACTGAAGAAATTATGATTAGATTCCATAAAGGAAAAATCTCTCCTCTGTTTTTCTCATTACTCAACACTCACATTTCTAGCACTTCAGTGACTAGATGTAGGGAGAGTTTTCCCGCTCTAACCAGTTCTTGAATTCTCTGTGGACACCCGCTGGGAGTCCTATAATTCAATTCAGCTCAGTTCGGATACTGCCTGCTCGGAGTTAGCATCAGATCCTGCAGGCTGACGGCTCCATCCCACAGGACTGCTTTCTCCAGAATAGCTGTATCAGACAGATTCCGCCAGTGCAACTGTAGCTCAGGTTGGGAGATAGATTACTGGTGCTTCCTATGCTCGCCATTTTCCCAGAATCCTCTCAACAGTGGTTATCTTTTTATTTTTTATTTATTTACTGATATTAGAGAGAAAAGCATTGGTTTGTTGTTCCACTTATCGTGTTTCCCCGGAAATAAGACATCCTCCGAAAATAAGACCTAGTGCATAGAAAGATAAGACATCCCCTGAAAATAAGACCTAGCGCAACTTTGGGAGAAAAAATTAATATAAGACACTGTCTTATTTTCGGGGGAACAGGGTATTAATGCATTCATTGGTTGCTTCTTGTATGTGCCCTGACTGGGGATTAAGCCCGCATCCTTGGCGCATTGGGATGATACTCTAACCATCTGGATCACCTGGCCAGGGCAACAGTGATTTTATATATATATAAAACTTTCAGCTTAAAGATAGTTCCATCTGCATATACACTTGGAGATCTTCCTCTCTCTTTATATATATATATATATATATATATATATATATATATATATTTTTTTTTTTTTTTTTTTTTTTCATATATTTTATTGATTTTACACAGAGAGGAATTGAGAGGGACAGAGAGTTAGAAACATCGATGAGAGAGAATCATCGATCAGCTGCCTCTTGCACACCCCCCACTGGGGATGTGCCCGCAACCAAAGTACATGCCCTTGACCGGAATCGAACCCAGGACCTTTCAGTCCGCAGGCCGACGCTCTATCCACTGAGCCAAACCAGTCCCGGCTTTAAATATATTTTTTATTTATTTGAGAGAGGAAGGGAATGGGAGAGAGAGACAGAAACATCAATGAGAGAGTATCATTGATGAATCAGCTGCCTCCAGTACACTCCACACTGGGGATTGAACCCACAACCTGGGCATGTGCCCTGACCAGGAATTGAACCACGACCCCCTGGTGCATAGGTCTATGTTCAACCACCAAGCCATGCCAGCTGGACCCTTTTTACTTCTATTTTTAATGGTTATAGAGTGTTCTATTGTGTGCCTGCTCCATAATATAACGAGCCCTTTATTGATGGATGCTTGAGTTGTTTTTCCACTGTTACAGTACTACTGCGATGAATAACTTCGTATATATGCAGGTCTGTGGGCAGATGGGGTTTTATTGCCCGAAGTGAGATTGCTGGATCAGTGGGTAGAAAGGCAGTAGGTATGGTTGGAGTCCCCACCATAGAATGGTATCATTTTGCGTTGCCACCAGCAAGGCATGAAAATACTGGTTTCTTCACAAGTGTGTGAAGAAGCTATGTGAACATTAATAACATCCTCTCTTATTAGAGCTCTGAATATTTGCCAGTCTGATAGGTGAACACTGGCATTTCCGTGTAGCTAAGCTACATTCTGAGCAAAGGTGAGCATCCCTTTAAACACTTAAGGACCTTTTATTCCTTTGAACTAACTTTTGGATTATTTGTCTCTTTTTTGTTTCTCAATTTTTAAAAGAGCTCTTTAAAAAGTTGCGGGGGGTGTCAAGTATGGCTCCATGGTTGAGCATTGACCCATGAACCGGAAGGTTAGGATTTGATTCCGGTCAGGGCACATGCCTGGGTTGCAGGCTCCATCCCCAGGAGGGGGCGTGCAGGAGGCAGCCAACCGATGATTCTCTCTCCCTCTCCCTTCTTTTCTCTGAAATCAACTAAAACAACAACAACAAAAAAACATACTTAAAAGTAGAGGGAGATCAATTCATTTTCTCTGATATGAGTCACAAAGTCTTTTTTTATTCTGCTTATGGTGTTTTTGCTATGCAGCTGTGTTTTTGTTTTTATAAGTTGAATTTTCCAATTATTTTATTATTATGACTTTGGGATTTGAAGCTGTATTTAGTAAGGTCTTCCTCGCTCCAAAGTTAAGACATTCACCCATGTTTTATTCTAGTACCTACAGGATTTTATTTTTTACATTTAAATAATTTATCCTGCTTTTGTCTTAACCATTGTGGTTTCTTGGTTTGTAGTGTTTGGGGCTTCGCTTTCCCATAATTTAGAAGTTATGGATTTTCTTAGTTCCCTAGTTTCATTAAAGATGTAGTCTGTATACGGGCGTTTGGATCTGGTGTGGGGATTCTCTTTGTTGCTCCATGTAATTTTTAATAGAGGTGGGTAGATTTGGGACTAGGTCAGTAACCGTGCTTCTTCCAGAAATGGAATCTCTAGATTTTATTTTATTTGTTATTCCTCACCTAAGGACATGTTGAGAGAGAGGAATGGTGAAGAGAGAGAGAGAAACATCAACCCTTCCATTGGCTCCCCAACTAGAGATCAAACCTGCAACCCACGTGTGTGCCCTAACCAGGAGTTGGCTTATCTTACTCTCAGCTTTTAGGAAGGCCAGCTACCACAGCATTTCTCAGCATCTCCAGGAAACCTTTGGATGCTATGGAGGTGAGGGAGAGACGATGGTACCCAATTATCACCATTGGCCAGATTTCTAATGTTATCTTTTTATTTTATTTTATTGATTTTTTTACAGAGGAAGAGAGAGGGACAGAGAGTTAGAAACATCGATGAGAGAGAAACATCAATCAGCTGCCTCTTGCACACCCCCTACTAGGGATGTGCCCACAACCAAGGCACATGCCCTTGACCGGAATCGAACCTGGGACCTTTCAGTCCGCAGGCCGAGGCTCTATCTACTGAGCCAAACCGGTTTCAGCTAATGTTGTTGTTTTCATGTTGTATTTAATTGAGTGATTATTTGGACATTTTGTGTTTCAAGGGCAAAAGCATTTGGAATAAAGATAAAGGGTTAAAAGTTAATTACTGCTTGGGGTTAGGACTGTAGAACTGTGGGGAAAACTCCTTTGTTTCAGTACCCAGTTCCACTGGTTCTTCCCTTTCTTCAGAATCTGTTTAAGTGCAGAAGGATGAGAACATTTTTCTGTTTAGGGTTATTTGCTATTGAATGTCTTTGTAAGTAGGTCAATAACGGGTGTTACGTGGGCCATGATAGAAATGGCTTTGTTACAATGATTGCTACCAATTTCACAGAAGTGTTTGCTAATTGTCTATGTGAGAGCAAGGGAACTGCTATTAGTGGGCAGGGAACTGAGGTTAGGTGTGTATCCTCCCAGCACCTAACCCAGAATCTGTGACATATCCAGTGATCAGTCAAATGATTGACTAACTCCAGCCAGAAATAGCCAGAGGAATTCCAAAATGTGCACTGAAATCGTTCTAGGGTACTAGTACTATCTACATCAAATAAATATTTACAGGATTTTCAAAATGTAGAGAAATGAAACTTCAAGCATAATTCCTATTTCTTACAATACTGGATTGGGTGATTTTTAAATCTCTCATATTAACCACTGTATATTTTTGTCAATATGTATATTAGTTCTATGTACCTACACTATTGCTAGCTATAATATTTTACTTAGACTTCAATTTCTTACATGATACTTCATAGTATTACTTATTATTAGTAGTTGGATTTTTTCCCCCCAGCCCAATTCTGTCTGTTTCTGCCAGCAGGAAATTATAACTATTGGATTGACTCTTTATATTCTTTGTGCCTGTTGTTAAGAAAGCACTTGTTAATAAAAATTGAGATTTTGTCACTCTGTGCACTCCATCGTGTGTTACCTAATTTTTATCTGCTGGTGGCTCACTTACCATTATAGTGATAATAAAAAGTGATAGACCCTGGTTGGTTTGGCTCAATGGATGGAAAGTTGGCCCCAGGTTTGAAGGGTCCTGGTTTGATTCCTGTCAAGGGCAAGTACTTCAGTTGTAGGCTTGGTCAAGACATGTGTGAAAGGCAAACAATTGATGTGTCTTTCTCACATTGGTGTTTTTCTCTCTTCTCTCTCTCTTCCCCTCTCTTCCACTTTCTCTAAAAATCAGTGGGAAAATATTCTCTGGTGAGGATTAACAATAACAACAAAAAGATATGTATGAGTGCAGGTAACTTGAGGAGCTAGAGTCTACTTTTAAAAATATATACATATATTTAATATATTTTTTATTGATTTGAGAGAAACATCAATCATTGATTGGCTGCCTCTTGCATGCCCCCTACTGGGGATCCAGCCCGAAACCCAGGCATGTGCTCTTGACTGGAATCAAACCTGGGACCCTTCAGTCTGCAGGCCGACACTCTATTCATTGAGCCAAACCAGCTAGGGCTAGAGTCTACTTTTAAATATTTTTTAAAATTTTATTGATTTTTACAGAGAGGAAGGGAGAGGGATAGAGTTAGAAACATCGATGAGAGAGAAACATCAATCAGCTGCCTCCTGCACAGCCCCCACTGGGGATGTGCCCACAACCAAGGTACATGCCCTTGACCAGAATTGAACCTGGGACCCTTCAGTCCACAGGCTGACACTCTATCCACTGAGCCAAACCGGTTAAGGCTAGAGTCTACTTTTAAATATCCCATTTTCCTTCTTGGGTCAGAGTCAGTTACATGAAGCCAGCATAGAGCAAAAGAGTCTATGAATTAATTACAATCTTGATCCTTCCTACTGAAATGGTTTGGTTTGCAGGTGGCACAAAACAGAAGATTATCCAAAGTTGAGTCTCTGCATTTCTGTTTTGGGGTATAATTTTACGTTTTAGAAAGATTTTAATTTAGCTGTAGACTAATTTCTTTCAGGTCTGTGGACCGTGGCTGTGTCCAGTGTGTTACATTGAAGAGCAATTGTTGCTATTTAGGATGCACCAGGACCCTTGCCATCCATTTGCTCTGAGGCTGTCCCTGGTGTCCTGTGCCAGATTTGCAAATGTGGTCCAGAGCAGGAGTTGATGATTGCTCTGATAAGAACATTAGTAGCTTTTCCCAGCTACCCGATATTAGGGTTATTAGTTATGTTCTATGTAATTAGAATTTTAGCTGCCAGATTGCTTGTTTACAATTAAAAATGAACTGCATAGTGAAGCAGATGGATCTAATCAGATAAACCTGGGTTCAAGATGACGTTTTGCCTCTTCCTAGCCATGTGACTTTGGGCAAGTTATTTGACCTCTGTAACCCCTGTTTTCTCATCTATTAAATGGGTGTAATAATGCTATTTATGTCATAGAGTTAAAGATTAAATGGAACAATGCACTTAAATTTTGTATCTGGTGCATAGTAAGCACTCAAAATATGGTAGCTATTATCAATGCCTACTTTCTCTCTCTAAAAAAAATCAACAATTACTTAAAAATAAATAAATATAAATAAATAAAAAATTTAAATTATATATGACAAAATTTATACAATAACCATTTTTAAATCCTCACCAAAGGATATTTTTTTCATTGATATGGGCGAGACAGAGATTAATGCAAGAGAGAAACATCAATCGTTTGCCTCCTGTTTATGCCCCAACTGGGGATAGAACCTGAGACCCTGTGGTACACAGGATGATGCTCCAACCAACTCCTCCAGGGCACCTTCACCACCTTTTCAGTGTAAGGTTAGTGGCATTCAAGTGCAGTCTCATTGTTAGGCAGCCATCCCCACTTGAGAACTCTTTTGTAATCCCAAATTGAAAATCTGTACCCATGAAACAGTCACTCCTCATTTCCTACTCCATTCTACTTCCTTTCTCTGAATGTGACTATTCTAGGTGCCTCATAAAGGTTGGTTACTTTAAAAAAAAATATTTTTTTAATTGATTTCACAGAGGAAGGGAAGTGGGAGAGGGAGAGGGAGAAAAAGAGGGAGAGAGAGAGAGAGAGAGAGAGAGAGAGAGAGAGAGAGAGAGAGAGAGAGAGAGAAAGAGAGAGAAAGAGAGAGAGAGAGAAACATCAATGGTGATAGAGATCTATGGACTGGTTGCCTCCACGCCCCCTGTGGGCATTGAGCCCACAATCCGGGCATGTGTCCTTTACTGGAATTGAATCTTGGACCCTTTAGTCTGCAGGCTGATGTTATATCTGAGCCAAACCAGCTAGGGCAAGGTTGGTTACGTTTTCTGTTGTTGTTTTTTGTATTTTTAATTTAAATTTTTTATTGTTTTAAGTATTACACGAGTCTCCTTTTCCCCCCATTGACCTCTCCCCAGCTGCTCCCACCCCCAGCACATGATCTTACCCCCTACTGTCTGTGTCCATTGGTTATGCTCGTATGCATGCATACAAGTCCTTTGGTTGGTCTCTTATGGTTACATTTTGATAGAAACTAAAGGTAAGCGATCAGCGTGGTCCCATGATGATGGACTGTTTAATAAGGTATTTGAAGAAGCAGGCATGGTAATGAGAAGAGGACTTGAGAGTTTGTATTCGAGGCAGCGGAAGAGAGAAGAACTAGGGTGGGGTAGAGCAGGGCTTTGTGTATTTTTATGGTAACATCTTTGAATGTTTAAATCTTTCCATTCTTTTTAATAGTATATTTCATGAAGCGGGCAGGGGAGTAGGGGGGGAGAGAGAATGCATTCTCCCTCCCTTCCCCCATCCCTTCCCCATTAGTTCCTGATATTACTTACTGAGCAGCTCATGTTTTTCCTACTGATTTTAAAAATAAGGTTCACTGCAGAATCTCTGAATGTTCCTTCAGAAGACGCATTATCAAAGAAGAGCAGTTCTCTATTCAATTTCCGTGACACTTTGTAAATTCAGAGCTAGTGGAAAAGCGAACCGTATTATCAAGAATCTAGACTCTTTCTATGTAAATAAGGACAATTTTTCTCTCCATAGGAAGAACTAAAGAATAAACAATTCCGTGTAACCTTTTTAATTTTATGCTAAATTAATTTTACTCTAATGGCACAGCTCCCTCTCATTTAGCTGTCCCAGTGAAGAGTAGTATTGGCAGGAGGAAATGACATCAGTGTGTAATGTGCCCGTTTGAGTGAGGGCCCTGGAGACGAGACACAGGAGTGAGCCCAGCGATGGAGGGAAGCCGAGGGGGGCCGGTGGGCTGTGCTCACCAGCTGGTTCTTGGGGCTCTCGAGGAAATTTTTTTTTGAGCTACACTTGTGTGCTGCAAGCACTCTTGGTGAGCAGCCCAGATTAGGTTGGCTTGTACTTTTAGTGCCAATTAGGCAAGTCACATTCCATAAATCTCTGTCTCCCTTTTTCCCCCCGATTAGGTGTATTTTGCTATTTTAACATTTTCAACTTCATAAACGTTTGTCGGGAGGATGCGGGCATTTCTTATTTTCTGCTGGAGAGGCATGTTCCTCTCCCCTCCTTTCCTTTTAATCTTCCTGTTTCCTTGACGCCCCTGCCTCTGAACTCCGCCGGCTCCTCTGCCCGCCGTGCCGGTCCTGCAGCCCCTCATGGCACCTGCACCTCTTTCAGCTCTTCCTCTCCCGCCGCCGTCAGTTGCAAAATGAGGCGGCTTTGTTTGGGAGGGAAGGGGAGAGTTCTTTCTGAATATCTGCTTTCCTTTGAAGCCGGAGCACTTCAGAGACAATTGAACTGCTTTTAGGTTTTTCCTGCCACCCAGTCTTTTCTTCCCACGGAGCCCGCCGCGAACACAGAGTTTTCTGTTGATGACATCGATTTGTTGCTATGGAAACAGTGGCTTTGTCACAGACTCAGCCCGGTGACTCTACCTCAGGTTCATGCGAGAGAAACGGGCAAGGCTTCAGGGGAGGACCTCATTAAAAGCGAAAGCTATCAATTATGAGCAGGTGAAAGGTAAATGGAGCCAACCATTTATGTCATGAAAACAAAAGTGAACCGCCTCGCACATTCACTGCACGCCACCGCCCGCCCCAGTGTGAATTCTGAACCGCGAGAGTCTTTGACGAAATCGGGACATTCAGATTTTGTCAGAGTATTTCTTCTACTTAAGTTTAAATCTTCGAACCCAGATTATTTGCACCCAAACGGTCTTTCTCTTTTGATCCTCAGGACACGGGCAGCAGCAGGTAGTTCCTTCTCCAGTCCCAGCAACCAGTCCACCCACCAGCAAGCCCCAGCCGCAGAATGGGAGCACGGGAATGGGTAAGACCCGCCCCAGGAGGCTACGCGCTGATTATAAGTATCAGGCTTTTGAATAATGTTTTGAAATTCAATCTGGGACTAAAGGGAATGTTCAGAATGCCATCCGTGACAAAGAATAAGTCCAATTCTCATTACAACGCATATGATTGAAAAAAATGATTAAAGATAGTATTGTAAAGATACTTAATATGCCATTTTTTATCGGTATGATGGATGGTTCTCTGTTAATAGCATGTCTGGTAGTTTCTCACATCTTGGGAGTTTTACACCCTCTTGACTTTGTGAATTTACATAGCTTTTACATTCCAGCCTTTTAGCTATCTAGGATCCGATTATTAAATGCGGCTTGTTTCTCTCCAAGTTTCTCACGTAGGGCTCTTGGGTATTTATCTGAGCTGGAAGACAGTGTCATTTATATTGGTCCTAGATTTGCTTCTCCATCTTATGGGTGAGAAATGGTTTCTTCTTTAACTTTCTCCGCAGCTGGTCCCCAGACGCTGGGATGGGATCATTTGGTTCCTCCTGGCCTGACTTCTGGACCCACCATTGGAAATGGTGATTTGTAGGATTTAGTTGGATTCCTCTTTAGAGGCGCTTTTTTCCCGTACTGCTTCACGTACACCAAATCCTCTCAGCTGGTTTCTATTGTTCAATGCTAAGAGTCTAGAAAAGGCAAAGTTAGCACATCAGTAATGTATGTGACTTTTCCCCATTGGTGTTGATGTTTTATCTACCTTACAAAATCTACCTACATCCTATCTCTCTATAAGTGCATCTATTCATACACAACTCTCAAATTATCTACTGTTAAAGGGCTGTGGTAGAATAAATGATCCAAAATGGTAAATAACTGCCCAGCTAGTGTGATTCAGTGGTTGAGTGTTGACCGTGAACCAGGAGGTCATGATGATTCTTCCTCATCATTGATGTTTCTCTCCCTCCCTCTCTGAAATAAATAAATAAATAAATAAATAAATAAATAAATAAATAAATAAATAAAAATAAACTATTTTAAAAATATATAAATAAATGGTAAATAACCAAAAGGTCACTTTCTTATGCTGAAATACAGATAGGAGTATGTTATTCTTATCTCTCCTCCCACAGATTTATTTTCTTTGCTGTCTGTCTTTGGCTTATATTAATATTTAATTTTTAAAAATCTGTTCTCTAAACACACAGCAGCTGGGTGGTTGAAGAAAAAAGCCTGGATATGTTTTGAAGGGAGGCTGCCGGCATGATAACGGGATGTGTTTGTATAGTTTACATAATTGTGTATTATGTGTTAGGTAGACATACATACGTACGTACATACATATTCTACAAAGCACACGTGCTTCTTTGCATACCGGTAATCATTGTTGTGTATGTCGCCCTCTCTCAATTCCTCAGTTAGAAGAGAACATTTTAAAATCTGGGACCGACTGTGTATTTTTTTTACTAAGTGCTACAAATCCCTAGAATAGCCTGCTGTGGAAAAACTCAGTAAGTGCTGAATAATGGTAGATTTATACTTCTGGCCAAATTCCATTATGAAGAAATGTTTTGATATAGAAGATATGAAATCATTGGACTAAAATACATTTTCTGGACTTGGGGGTGGAAGCTTTACAGAAACAGTGTGCACAAGAGTTCATGTGCTTATGAGCTTTTAGTACCTCTTCTTCTCCCGTGGGGGAGCTGCGTGGGCTTGGACTGAGGAGGCAGAAGGGATCCTGGTGGCCGGCCACCTACTTGTCCTGGACCAACAACTGATTCTTGCCCTTCGTTCCCAACTGAACCCAACCCCACTAGCTATTCTGCACTGGGCAGTGCTGGAGACCAGTGGAGGACTGGGAGTGTTCTGGGGGTGTTTTAAGGTGATGTAATTGTGACAGGCATCCTTCACCTTGGATGGTTCATCTACTGTGACCCTTACTTCCTAGCCTTTCTTTTTGCTCTTTTTCTTAGGCAGCTAGTGACTTCCATCAGTTTTACCAGTCAAGGAGGTTGGCTTTTTTTTTTCTTTTTTCTTTTTTTTCTGACCCATGATCTTGCCCACTGACACACGAGAAAAGTTTAAGAAGGATGGATCAGCGTCTAGGTTCATTATTATCATTATCCTGACCTCGGGATTTAAGTCAGCAGACAGACGGTGAACTTCTGTGGGCCCAGTCCTCTCTCTGCATTGTTTGTTTAGCCTCTGGTTTTGGTGTCTGTTTGATTTCCATATCTCTTGTTTGCTTAAAAGGAAAAACTTTATGCCTCTTGTTTTGTTACGATTTCACCGATTTCACCGGTGACACCTCAGTAATTGAGAGTTAATTTAAATAGAATAATGATTGTCCTTCTTTTTGTTTTTAAAGGGCCCACTATACCTAAGGCTTATGGTGCCTCGAAGATATTTGGAAAAACTGGAGGTACCAGCCTAGTGAACAGTTCCGGGGGATCACAGGCCAAAGTGGTCCCCATTGCCAGCCTCACCCCTTACCAGTCCAAGTGAGTTACTCCGTAGAATAACTTCAGAATGTACTTACAAAATAGTAGAAGAGGCCCTGGCCAGTTTGGCTCAGTGGATAAAGCTTCGGCCTGTGGACTAAAGAGGGGAGAGGGGGTCCCAGGTTCGATTCCAGTCAGGAGCATGTACCTTGGTTGTAGGCTTCTCCCCTGGCCTGGGCCCTGCTCAGGATGTGTGCAAAAGGCCACCAATAGATGTGTTTCCCTCACATCGATGTTTCTGTCTTTCCCTCTCTCTTCCTCTCTCCCTAAAAATCAATAGAAAAATATCCTTGGATTATCGAAAAACAAAAACAGTATAAGAGGCTATTATGAGCTCTTGTCTTATTTATGAGTGAACTGCTACCACAAGTAAAATAGGTTCTCCTCCCCCCCCCAAGGGCAGGAGGGTACAAATTGTTCAATCTTGAACACTTATCAGACAAGAATGGCCAAAAGAGCAGTCTGCTGTGAGCATATTGGGCTTCATTCATTTTGAAATTTAAAATATTTAATGTTTAAGGATCATTTGATAGCCTGGCTGATGTGGCTCAGTGGTTGAGTATTGACCCATGAACCAAGAGGTCACTGGTTCAGTTCCCAGTCAGGGCACATGCCTGGGTTGCAGGCTTGATCTCCGATAGGGGGCATGCAGGAAGCAGAGATTGATGTTTCTCTGTCATTGATGTTTCTATCTTTCTACCCCTCTCCCTTCCTCTCTCTAAAATAAATAAGGAATTTTTGTTTTAGGTAGACATGTCTCAAAAAAAAAAAAATCTGTTGATAGTCTTGTGAGTAAAACTAAATATTTGTTCTAATTCAGAAGTTGTTTATCTTATCATATAAATAGCTGACTTTTAGTTTAAAAAACGTTTCCCTACTGAGACTGGTTTGGCTCAGTGGATAGAGCGTCGTGCCTCTGAGTTCATGCTGCTTCCGTGTGTTTTGCTTCGGTGACTTACCAACCCCGTGTTCCACAGCCTTGTATTCTCTTCAGGGCGTGTGAGAAATGAGACAGACGTTTGACACCAGCTGTATCGGTTCCCATAATGAAAATAGTGGCAAAATATAATTGCTGGTATTACTGCGTTTTCTAGCTTCAAACCTTTCATTAGGGGGATATTGTTGCCTTGGTGATGCTTTTTTGGAGAAGAGAGAGAGATGATAAGTTTACTTATTTGACTGAATAATGAGTTAATGTTAAATCACCTGTATGTTTTCCTCTTTGCTTATTATTCTATAAACTGTCAAATCTTGTGTCATCTTCGGGTTTAATTAGGTGGATTAAAATACAGGTTATATTGAAAAAAATGGAGTCTGTAAAAAGATAAGAAAGGCTACGGGAAGATGTTAGGGAACCTTCCAGATCTTTCCCAGGTAAGACTTGGAATTCTAATGTGCTCTGTTTGATTTTTTAGGTGGACCATTTGTGCTCGTGTTACCAACAAAAGTCAGATCCGGACCTGGAGCAACTCCCGAGGGGAGGGGAAGCTTTTCTCTATGGAACTGGTCGATGAGAGTGTGAGTGTTTGTCAAGCAGCCGTCTGCTCCGAGGAACAGAAGCTCTTCCGCCCCTGTGCGGCCCTCGGGTGAAAAGCCATAGTGGGCCAAAAAGAGCCATAATTGTTGTTTTTCCTCTTTTGTAGTCTTTGATGCTATCTGAGGGCAAAGGTCATGAATAAAATCCTGACCTTAAACGGAAGCATTTGTAGCGGTGAGAATTAGCTTTCTAAGTGTCTGCGTAGCTTCTGGGCAGGAGAAAGCAGAGGTGCTCTGTCTGACTTGCTGGCAGGCTTCGTTGAAGCTATTGGAGGTGAAGTGTGCTCTGGAGCAAAGTGGAGCTCTGAGTCACAGTGAAAGGCACGCAGTAGCCATGGTGATAAGCGAATGGTTTTGTGGGAGATGGATTCTGACTCTTCAGACTACATGGATTCCTTAAACATGACCATGATGAGGAGACCAAAAATCCAAGTTGTGAAATACAGTCCATTAGTTTCGTTTATATTTCCTAATGCTATATGTACTTGAAGCATTCTTTTTTGTTTTGTTAATCTTCCCCTGAAGGTATTTTTCCATTGACTTTTTAGAGAGAGGGAAAGAGAAATATTGATGTGAAAGAAACACATCGATTGGTTGCCTCCTGCATGTGCCCCACCAGGGCCCAGGCTGGGGAGAAACCTGCAACCGAGGTACATGTCCTTGACCGAAGTGGAACCCGGGACCTTTTGGTGCACAGGCCGACGCTCCATCCAACTGGGGCCGAAGCATTCTTTTCAAACAGATTTCCTATTTGTTCAGGCCTCTTTAAGAGCTGATACAAAATAGGTAGTTAGTTTGTGGTTTTTGGAAGATGGAATGACACCCCAAATATACTGGTGACTGTGATGTCTGAATCATCATCAGAACTTAATTTTTTTTTTTTTTATCAAATTATTGGCCTATTCTGTCAGTTGGCAAAAGTTCTAGCGATTTAAGTTTATCCATCTGTAGCATTTGGACTGATGAAAAGCAAAAATGAAAATCAAAGTCACGAGCAACTCAAAAACATGTTTTACTGTAACATTTTTGGCAATGACTCCTGAATATGGTCTAATCCCTTGCTTAGTGCGAATGCGAGGGAAGCTGGTGAGTCACCGTGGCTCAGCCCACCTCCCGTGGGCTTCGGCATGTCACTCAGTGTTCAGAGTTGTTTTATTTTTGTTGTCAGAATATCCAACTCACCATTGGGTTAGTTGGTTGTTTTTTTAATTCCTTTTTATAGGTTTTCTAACTTGAGGCCGATGAAGCGTGATAACAGCATTGCCGGCTAGGCTTATATTGTTTTATGGGGTTAATAACTTGAATATGTGACTGTAGGACGTGTGTTTCCGTAAAGGTGCCATTTGACACTAGGGTGCCCTGATCATGGCAGAACTTGCTGACCACCACAGTTCTAACCTCTTCCATGCATCCACAGGGTGAAATCAGAGTGACTGCTTTCAATGAGCAAGTGGACAAGTTCTTTCCCCTCATTGACGTGAACAAGGTACGTAGAGCTGAGTCCAGAACTGAAACAGTCGAGGATGAGGGATCTCCCCTCCCTCAGAGAGCTGTGTGGCGGCAAAGGGTCTGTACGTCTGATTTGATGGACGGTCCCACGTTCCGTGGCTTGGGCTCTTGCAGGTCTACTATTTCACTAAAGGCACTCTGAAGATTGCCAACAAACAGTTCTCAGCCGTTAAAAACGACTATGAGATGACCTTCAATAATGAGACTTCAGTTTTGCCCTGCGAAGACGGTCATAATTTACCTACCGTTCAGTTCGACTTCACAAAGATCGATGACCTCGAGAACAAACCCAAGGACTCCCTCATCGGTAAGCCCGTGTCTGAGCGCAGAGAGAGGGGCGGTAATCACCCAGGGAAGGCGGGAGGCTTGCTTACCTGCTTGCTGGTCACCCTTTGGTCCTGCCGTCCCGGGAGTCTTGACCGTCTCCAGCTAAATCATTGTGCCTGTGTTTCAGACATAATTGGGATCTGCAAGAGCTATGAAGATGCCATTAAAATCACAGTGAAGTCCAACAACCGAGAAGTTTCTAAGAGAAATATCTATTTGATGGACATGTCAGGGAAAGTGGTGTCCGCTACTCTGTGGGGAGAAGATGTAAGTATTTGTGTTGAGCAGTCAAAGCACGTGCAGAGGAGGGTGACATGTCCTGGAGACCTCCCTAATGAAGGATTGGGCAGTCCACGGAGTGTTAGAAATCCTTTATTTGATTTACTTCTCTGAAGTTGGGTTAGTTGGTTGTTTTGGTTTAAGTTTTATAGAATGAAGTGCTTTGACATATCTCTAAGCAGATTCTTTTTTTATATATATATATGTTATTGATTTTTTACAGATTGGAAGAGAGAGGGATAGAGAGCTAGAAACATCGTCCAGCTTTGCCTCCTGCACTCCCCCTACCGGGGATGTGCCCGCAACCTAGGTATATGCCCTTGACTGGAATCAAACCTGGGACCTTTCAGTCTGCAGACAGATGCTCTATCCACTGAGCCAAACCGGTTTCGGCTCTAAGCAGATTCTGTGTGTGAGGTTACCTTGTATGGATGCCGTGTACCATTTATTGCATTCCCTCTGCTGTTGACTATTATCCTTGTTTTCTACAAAAACATTCTGTGTGTTTTTCCTGCCAGTGACACCTGTTTGTGTGTGTTTGGGATTTTTGTTGTGATGCAGGCTGATAAGTTTGATGGTTCCAGACAACCCGTGATGGCCATCAAAGGAGCCAGAGTTTCTGATTTTGGTGGACGGAGCCTCTCGGTACTGTCTTCAAGCACAATCATTTTGAATCCTGACATCCCAGAGGCCTACAAGCTTCGAGGATGGTAAGTGCTACGGGGCCAAACAAGGGGGCCGTTTGAGCCCGAGCTTTGAGAAGAGCTGGTTCCTGTGGTTCTTATGATCAGTGTGCGAGCTGCCTGCCTGCCCGGGACTCAGTGCCTATATTTCTCGGTGGCATTACACCTTCTGAAAGGACGGCTTTAAAGCCCTTAAACTGACAAACCTATAATCCGGTGACAAACCTGGAGAGGCAGAGGAGGAGGCAATTAGAATGGAAGTGTTGCTGCCAAGCCCAGTCCTGCCAATGCAGGACGAGGCCGGCCTTAGCAGCTGCGTGCTGACGGCATCTCTCTTTCCTGGGTTTAAAGCCCTGGGCTGCCAAAACCGGTTTGGCTCAGAGGATAGAGCGGTGGCCTGTGGACTGAAGGGTTCAGGGTTCGATTCCGGTCAAGGGCATGTACCTTGGTTTCGGGCACCTCCCCAGTGGGGGCTGGAGGGGGATGCAGGAGGCAGCTGATCGATTTTTCTCTCTCATTGATGTTTCTACCTTTCTATCCCTCTCCCTTCCTTTCTGTAAAAAATAAAATTAAATTAAAAAATCGATAAAATATGTTAAAAATAAAAAAATAAATAATAAAGCCCTGGGCCTCTGTGTGGGGGGAGAAGGTCCTGTCCGGTCTTTGGTGCTGATGGCATCTTCTAGTGCGTATTCACTGGACCCTGACAAAGTGCCCCGTGAGGACAGTGGGCTTTTGTTGGCATTTTATTGTTCTCAAAGCACTCGGGGGATGAGGGGAACCTAGGAAAATCTCCTTGCTGTATCTAGCTATTTTCAGGGTGTTAAAACTGCCTCAGAAGAGCACTTCACACTGAAACACGGTATGCAGGATCGATGTGGTCGGGGAGAACATGTAAGCTTGAGCTTAAATAATTTGGCTGTAGCCACGGGGAGGGGTCGGTTTCCAACTGTTTCAGTGCTTCAGGAACTGAAGAATTAGCTCACATTGCATACTTTCTTGCTTTTGTTTGGTGTCTAATGCGAACCAGTGGTCCTGGCATGTGAATGGTTTCATGAAGCATCGTCTGGAGTATCCATGCCACGTAAGCCAGCCTCGTGAGTGTGGGCCACGTGTCTCTGTATTTAACTGCTCTGGTAGCTGGCATTGTATTCTGAGACGGTGCCTGTTGGTAGTCTGACCAGAAATAACCCTGCTTCGGGTCCTTATTGCTTTATTTTCTGTCAGGCGCTGGGGCGTGACCCCAGGTTAATGGCATACCCACATTAAGGTCTTTATACTTCCCTTGTCAATAACCATCCTCCCAGCCAACATGAAAAGACATGGCTGTCTCCAGAATGAAATCACTGGGCATTGATCTAAGAGGTTCAGTGCACACAATCCACTCGGCAAGGACGGGAGAGGTTTAGATCTTGGTTGTAACAATGTGGAATTTTTATTGTAAGAGGGGCTGCCTCTTTCCTTGCTCTGTTGACTCCTGATGAGCTGTCTTTGGTGGCAAGTGTGTGTCTCCTTGGAGTGTTTGAAATCGTAAACTTGTGTAGCTGGTTGTGGCAAAACAGATTTATGGACCTCGCTGTGCCTCTGTGCCGGATTTAGCTGCTTACCTGACAGAATGGGAAGGCAATCTTCTACAGCTTAGGGCGGCGGCCATGGCGTAGATGGTCTCTGTCTAAGGAGCCTGCCCTGGCGGTGGTGAGCTTGTCGTTATCCTCCCTTTGAATGGCAGCGGCATGATTTTAACCTCAGGCTCCTGCTTCAGAAACGAATAGGTTTCTGAGCCACTTCCTCCCGGGTCCCCTTCATATTGGCTGATAATAGATCAAGAAATAGAACCCATTTTAATAATAATTCAATACCAATTAATTTTAACTTTCCTATTGGCATAAGTAAAAATCTCTCTAAGAAGATAAATCTATAAGAAAACAATACCTTCCAGTCCGTTCCTTTGGGTTACGTAATCTTTTGGATTCCGTGTCAGGTTTAAACGCTCCTTCACCAGGGGAGCAGTTTTTTGCTGCCGTTGCAATATGCTGGCTGTCACTTTCTATACTGATACATCTCAGTGATGGTAAAAATGTAACTGCGGACAGAGAATGAGCATCAGTGGCCCAAAGAACTACACCAGAGCGGCAGTTATTAGTTTTCTGTTGCTGGTTTTCCAGGTTACTGTTTCTTTGGCCTTGGGCCCTGGGGCCAATGTTGATAGGAAGGCTAATTTAAGAAAAGCTTCCCTGGTACTTGGGCAGTGTCTTTCTTCACCACTGGGGGGCATCAAAGCAACTGACATAAAAAGAGGTCATTCCTTTCTTTAGTGGCTGAAGATACCACAAGGAAGACAAGCACTGCAGCCCACGTGACTGTGGCCTGTGAACGTTAGGTGGGGTTGGATAGCCTGTATGGGGCACAAAGAAATGACTGGCATATTCCATTAGTACGTAACCTGCCATTTGTTTGTTTCTCAGGTTTGACTCGGAAGGACAAGCCTTAGATGGTGTTTCCATCTCGGATCTAAAGGGTGGAGGGACAGCAGGAGGCAACACCAACTGGAAAACTTTGTACGAGGTGAAATCGGAGAACCTGGGCCACGGGGACAAGGTAGCCTGCGTTCCTGACTTTCTCACAAAAGCACGTACAGTGTGCAGAGGGATGCGCTTCCTAATCTGGTGTCTGGTGCCAGCTGTCAGACATGACTCCAGAGCTACGATTCCTGGCGGGACCTCTGGAGCGTGGTGCGATGGTCGGGAATCACTGCCAGGGAGCAGTAGCTGCGCTTCCTCGGGGAATAGGTGGTACCCCTCAGGTCTTGGAGGCAGAGAATGTGAAGAACTCGGACTTAGAGAGTTGTTTAATTCTTAGAGGGATCTTAACAGAGTGGTCATAACCAAGCTATGCATCACATTATAAACAGCCTTCGGGTCCATGTTTCTTCCCCGTGATTGTTCCTGCATATTGAAATGCCCATCTGCCAAGAAGAGAGGTTTTGAGGCTATAGAGACACCTCCATGGAGCATCATCGGTCAGGCTCAGTGACAGACGGCAGGCAGTTCACCCATTCTTTCAATGGCTCTTTTTAAAGATGTATTTTTTATTGATTTTTTTACAGAGAGAAAAGGAGAGGGAAAGAGAGCCAGAAATATCGATGAGAGAGAAACATCAATCAGTTGCCTCCTGCACACCCCTTGCTGGGGATATGCCCACAACCAGGGTTCATGCCCTTGACCGGAATCGAACCTGGGACCCTTGAGTCTGCAGGCCGACGCTCTGTCCACTGAGCCAAACCGGGTAGGGCTGGCTGTAGAGTATTAACCCCTCCTGGGTTGAGAGTCGCCAGTGTCTCTGACAAGAATTGGCTCTAGCATTTGCCTTTAGATGCAGCTTCCCTTTCAGTGTTTGTATAGAATGACTCTTTTCCCTTCTTGATCTAAACCTGTATTCTGTCCACAGTTTAATAAATTATTTCTCCTTTATGCTTCCCCAGAACAGCAATTCCTGCTTTATTGTCTTCATATTATACAATATGGTTTTTACTCCTTACTGGCTCATTTTGCTGTATTCCCTTGCCCATCATTGTCATCAGCTGCAGCTTAACAATTCACTGTTGTTACACAGCACCTTGAGAGCTAAGCATTAGACAGATCGGTTTGTCTGTTTGGGTTCTCATCAGCCAATTTCTCTCTAAGATCTAAAAATAGACCTTCTGTGATAAGAAATCAGACCTGGAGAGTCGCGATTTGCACACAAACTTTCAATTATACTTTGAGTCTGGGCCTTACCTGGAAATACAGAAAAACTTGCCCAGCCAGAGTGGCTCGGTTGGTCGGGTATTATCCAGTGCACCAGACGGTCACGGTTCAGTTCCTGGTCAGGGCACATGTCTGGGTTGCAGGTTTGATCCCCCCATGGGGAGTATGCATAGGGCAGCCAACGGTGTTTCTCACATCAACCTCTCCCTCTTCCTCTCTCTAAGCATGTCCTCACATGAGGATTAAAAAAAAAAAAATTTAGAAATACAAACTAACTGTAGGCATTCTCCTAGGAGACATTACTTTCCTCTTGAGCTTTCTAGAGTGAGGACTCATCCAAGCTCTTTAAACATCCACATGATTGCCGAGACCGGTTTGGCTCAATGGATAGAGCATCGGCCTGGGGACTGAAAGGTCCCGGATTCGATTCCGGTCAAGGGCATGTACCTTGGTTGCAGGCATATCCCCATTGGGGGGTGTGCAGGAGGCAGCTGATCGGTGACACTCTCTCATCGATGTTTTCTAACTCTCTGTCTCTCTCCCTTCCTCTCTTTACAAAATCAATAAAATATATTTAAAAAAATAAATAAATAAACATCCACACGATTGTTTTGCCTGTTTTGGTCTGAAACATTGGAAAGCCCCAGAATTGCTGACTTGGCTCTGAATCAGAGTATACCCAGAGGGACCTGTCCACCCCTCATAAAGGATCCATCCCAGGTCCTTTCTATGAGAGTTAAAAGGCAAAACAGAGAACAACAACATAAAGCCCAGCACGTGACTTAGTCCTCGCTGCATTTACCAGTGATTTCTCCACTTTGAATGCCCTTGTTCAGTTATTGTTGGATTCTACTGAATTTGATGACACACTGGGGCTTGACAGCCAGCCCACAGGCCAAATCCAGCCTGCTGTCTGGTGTAAATAATGTTTTGCTGGCACACAGCCACATGTTTTGATTTACATATTGTCTGTGGATGCTTTGCCCAAAATAGCAGACTATGTCCGAATGGCTTGTGAAGCCTGAAATATTTACTGTATGGCTTTTTACAGAAAAAGTTTGCTGACCCTTAGCCTAGAAAAGATAAAGGTGACTCTGAGCCCTATAAATCACTGCTGTTATGCTTTTTTGTTTGTTTTTAAAATATATGTTTTTATTGATTTCAGAGAGGGAGAGATAGAAACAAAAATGATGAGGGAGAATCATTGATTGGCTGCCTCCTGCATGCCCCCCACTGGGGATCGAGCCCGCAACCTGGGCATGTGCCCTTGACCAGAATTGAACCCGGGACCCTTCAGTCCTCAGGCCAATGCTCTATCCACTGAGCCAAACCAGCTAGGGTGACTGCTGTTGGTTTTTTGTTTTTTTGTTTTTTTTTAGTTTAATCTTTATTGTTTCAGATTATTACAATTATTCTTCTTTCTCTCCCCTCCCCTATAATTCCCCTCCACCAGGTTCCTACTCCACCCTCTGCTCTTACCTCCCCCCAACTGTTCTCATCCCATAGGTGTTTGCTTTTTGTCCAGTCTCTTCCCACACCCCCACACCCCTTTTCCCCCAAAATTATCAGTACACTCCCTTTCTATGCCCCTGATTCTATTATATTCACCAGTTAACTCTGTTCATCAGATTTTTTTATTCACTTGGGTTTTAGATTCACTTGTTGATAGATACGTATTTGTTGTTCATAATTTTTATCTTTATTTTTTTCTTCTTAAAGAATACCTTTCAGCATTTCATATAATTCTGGTTTGGTGGTGATGAACTCCTTTAGCTTTTTCTTATCTGTGAAGTTCTTTATCTGACCTTCCATTCTGAATGATAGCTTTGCTGGGTAGAGTAGTCTTGGTTGTAGATTCTTGCTATTCATCACTTTGAATATTTCTTGCCATTCCCATCTGGCCTGCATAGTTTTTATTGAGAAATCAGCTGACAATCATATGGGTGCTCCCTTGAAGGTAACTAGCTGTTTTCCTCTTGCTGCTCTTAATATTCTCTCTGTGTGTTTTGCTCTTGGCATTTTAACTATGATGTGTCTTGGTGTGGTCCTCTTTGGATTCCTTTTGTTTGAGGTTCTCTGTGCTTCCTGAACTTGTAAGTCTATTTCTTTCACCAGGTGGGGGAAGTTTTTGGCCACTGTTTCTTCAATAGGTTTTCAGTATCTTGCACTCTCTCTTCTTCTGGGACCCTCATAATTCTAATGTTGGTACACTTGAAGTTGTCTCAAAGGCTTCTTACACTATCTTCAACTTTTTGGATTCTTTTTTCTTTTTGCTTTTCCGGTTGAGTGTTTTTTACTTCTTTGTATTTCAAATCTTTGACTTGGATCTTGCAATCCTCTAGTCTACTTTTAGGTCTCTGTATATTATTTTTTTTATTTCAGTCAGTGTATGTTTAATTTGTAGTTTATCCTTTTTATATTCTCAAGGGTCTTGTTAAATGTATCGGCCTTTTCTAGGAAATTCTTGAAAAACCTTATAACTGTGGTTTTGAACTCTATATCCAGTCATTTGTTTTCCTCCATTTCTTTCATTTGTGACCTGCCTCTTTGTCTCTGCATTTTGGCTGCTTCCCTGAGTTGATGGAGTGGCTTTGTGTGCTAGGTGTCCTAGCAGGGCCCAGTGGCTCAGCCTCCCCAGTTACCTGAGGTGGGCACTCTTGAAGTGCCCCTTTGTGGGCTGTGTGCATAGTCTTGTTGTAGTTAAGCCTAGATTGTTGTTAGTATCACTGGGGGGAATTGACCTCCAGGCCAATTGGCATGAGGATCAACTGTGTCTCCATTGGGAGAGCTTTTGTGCTCAGCTTGGATGGGGTAGAGTCTCAGGGTGAGCAGACAGCCTTGGTTTCCCGTCAGCCCCACCCGATGAGGCTCCTGTGTCTCAGTGTGCCACGGCAGTGACTGCACACACCTCTGAGAAAAGGCTGCCTTGAGTTTCACCCACTGCCAGACAGTCCAGTTGCTCCCCGAATGAGTCTGGGTACTCAAAATCTCACCCAGAACTGGATTTCAGTGCAGTCGGAATGTTTTGTTTCCCTCTTGAAGGAGAAAGCTAGCTACATGCTTGCTGCCCACCCTTTCCGAACACGTGCTTCTCCGCCCCTGCCCTCCACAGCTCCTCTGGGTCACGTGTCCTTTTATCTTTCCTTCTAGTTGTAGAATTTCCACTCTGCCAGCTTTCTGGTGGTTCCAGACTTTGTTCGCTCTGTCTTCCAGTTGCAGTTTTGAAATTGTTGTGCAAGGCCACAGTATAGGTGTTTACCTACGCCGCCATCTTGATTTCTCCTGCTGTTGTTTATAATGTGAGGGGATGGTTGGACGTAGATGTACTAGTATTAGATTTACTGCCTTACTCAGTATTTCCTAGTCTGTTACCTTCGGAGGTCAGAGCAGAGGAAAGCTAGTCTTTGTGTCTTGAAGTCTTTATCTTTCCTATACTTTATTTCTGTTTTAATTAATTAGTTTAATTTATTACTAACTCTTTTATTGTTAAGGAATCATATGCTTGGTTTATTACCTTCTTACGGGTTTTGTGGTTAGCACAAGTGATTTGTAAAGCTGCACAATGACTTACTCTCTGTAGTCACATTGTGATGAGAAACACTTGCACTTCTGTGTAAGGGCCCACCTGGGGCTGCCCCTAACCCCAGTCTTGCGTTAAGCCTGGTTGCTCAGTGTCTCGTGTCACTCTTTTCTCTTGAAGGCAGACTATTTTAGCTCTGTGGCGACAGTGGTATACCTCCGCAAAGAGAACTCTATGTATCAGGCCTGCCCATCGCAGGACTGCAATAAGAAAGTGATCGATCAACAGAACGGATTGTACCGCTGTGAGAAGTGTGACCGCGAATTTCCCAACTTCAAGTACCGCATGATCCTGTCGGTAAGTAGAATGGGTGGATGCGAACCACTGTGGGACTGGAGGCTCTTCGAGGGCTGGACGCTGCGGAAACAGCAAAAACGGTCACTCGTGGCAGGAAGCCTGCAGATGAGTGAGGGCCGACAAGCTCTTCCCATAAATGCAAAGCCAGGGCCTTGCCGTTGAGCAGCAGTCCACCTGCTCCCCCGGACAGCATTTTTTCCTGCCAGAAAGTTGCTTTGAGCTCCCAGCTGATTTTGGTCTGCTGCGCATGGAGTGCAATTACCGCATGGGTGGCACTTGCCCGCTAACTGTTACGAAGATAAATTAATTTGCAGTGGCATTTCTGGAGAGCGGTAATTATACTTATGCAGCCGGTGCCTATATTTAGTTATTTTTCTTGTGAATAATCTGTTCCTCTTGCCTCAGTAGAGCTGACTTCAGAGGAATGTGACTGCATGCTGATGTGGGATTGTGGCTTCTTTGCATTGTCAGAACTTCTTTAAAGGCTTTAAAAACCTTTACAATGAAGGGTGTATGTTTTCTTAAAAGTTATATTAAGTGATGATAAAGGAACACACACACACACACACACACACACAAAAACCAACCATCAGGCACTCATTTTTTTAGAAGATGATTTGGTGGTAGTATATCGGAAGCCTTAAAAATATTTATATTTTCTGATATAGTAAGCACCTGGAGGGAATTTCTTCTAAAAAAAAAAATAATTAGAGATCTTACATCTCTATAAAGTTGTCTATTGCCCTGTTACTTATTTGGAAAACTTGGATACAATTTAAATATCCTTCACAGTCTACTGGTTAATTCCTTTATTGAATATCTGTAGAGCGGAACACAATAAAGACATTAGAATATGCTGTTTGATAGTTTCCACAGTTAAAATATTTGAAAAGCAATGCTAACAAAGACTGTTACATGACATAAATAGCCCTGGCTGGCTTGTCCAGTGGTTAGAGTGGGCCACAGGTTTGATTCTGGTCAAGAACACATACCTGAGTTGCAGGTAGCTGGAGGGGAGCTGAGTCCAGGGTGCCTGGATTATGCGCCTGAAGGACAGTTTGGGTCGGGCTGTATCGGCATTGAGGCCTGAATCCACACATCCGTAGCATATCGTACTTGTGCTGTGATAGAGACATTCGTGTGTGTGTGTGTGTGTGTGTGTGTGTGTGTGTGTGTGTGTGTTATTGATTGTGGAGAAAGAAGAAGGGGGAGAGAGAGAGAGAGAGAGAGAGAGAGAGAGAGAGAGAGAGAGAGAGAGGGAGAGAGAGAGGGAGAGAGAGAGAGAGAGAAACATCGATGTGAGAGAGAGACATTGATCAGTTGCCTCCCAGATGCACCTGGACCGCCGGTGGCCTTTCAGTGCATGGGAGGATGCTCAGCCAGCAGAGCCACCCCGGCCAGGGCCACACTTACATTTTAAACTCTGAATGATATTTTTCACATTCTCCGGAAAGAATATAAAATACACGATGGTAATAGTTTTCCCCTTGGTGATTATGTTAATGAGTGGAAAAAGTTAATCTCTGAACGTGTTTTCCTTTTATGATTTCTTTCCTGAAATAATAGAGTTGTGTTTCGTAGGTAAATATTGCCGATTATCAAGAGAACCAGTGGGTCACTTGTTTCCAGGAGTCTGCAGAGGCGATCCTCGGACAAAGCACTGCTTACCTTGGAGAGTTAAAGGAGAAGGTCAGCCACGTCTTTTGTCATCACTGCAATAGTTCCTGGGCTGGAGCGTGGCTCTTTAATTTTGTGGTGTTTGTTTCTTTGGGGTGTTGTGTCCAGTTTCTCAGTCTGATGACCATTTGAGGTGCTCGTATGATTTTATCTGTTGTCCATCTTGGGTTTGCTAACAATGGGGCGATGAAGTCACATGGACAAGCGGGCCTCAGAGCAGCGCTGTTGCTCCTGTTACGGCCAGCACACCGGAGGTGGTGTGCTGGTGGTCACATGAGACATGGAAGGAGTCTCCTGAAATACAAGCGTGCCTTTCAGCGTAATAAACACCTTCCTGGGAAGTCAGGTCAACTCCTGGTTTAAAATCACAGATACAGTACTTACTGTTTTAGGTCATCAGATGCGGGTTTTTTTTTTTTTAATGCAGTAACTTTCTTTCATACATTAACTTTATCCATTTCACTTTTTAAAAAAATATATTTTATTGATTTTGTACAGAGAGGGGGAGAGATAGAGAGTTAGAAACATCGATGAGAGAGAGTCATCGATCAGCTGCCTCTTGCACACCCCCTACTGGGGATATGCCCGCAACCAAGGTACATGCCCTTGATGGAATCGAACCCGGGACCCTTCAGTCCCCAAGTCGATGCTCTATCCATTGAGCCAAACCGGTCTCGGCTGTCCGTTTCACTTTTATACATTTGAATTTTTACATTTTAGGTTTATGTAGTGCAAGGAACAGATTACCAATTGTGTTAAACTTAAGAAAGATATTTGCTCAAAATGTGTAAAAAAAAACCAATAGGACTGTTTTCTGGGTCACAAATTGGCATCTAGCTATTGATTCCCCCTTCCCGCCATTTCCACAAAACCCATTAGAATACTTGGAAAAGCGTAAGAAAGGGGTTTGTTTGGTGTATTTTTTGTACCTTTTCTGTGCCTCTGCCCCACGTCTTTTTGAAATGCTGTCCCTGACGTCCCTGGAAGTGATCCCAGTGAGTCCTTTTGTAGAAATCACTGGGGTTGACTGTAAAGTCTGATGGTCTCTCTGACCTGTTTTGCCTGGCCCTCTATTTCCATACCGGATTCTAAGGCTCCGAGCAGCCTCTCGGGGATTTTTATTACATTTGACTGTTTTTACTGCTGGTGAATGAGGACATCGAAGGAACTCCTCCCTCAGGACCTGGGATGTTTCCGGAGCAGTGCTCCCTGCTTCCCCTGGTGTTGGAGGAAGAATGGCCTTCGGTATAACTTCCTGAAGGTGTAACACACTGTCTCATTTACATATCTGAAAGCCCGGAGGATTGTTTGTGTGTGAAGCAACCTTTATTCCAGAGTTTACCAAACAGCCATGTCAGTGTTCCATGTGGCTTGCCAAGATAACACTTAGCTGATCTGAAGGATCGATTTTATAGCTACTAGAGGCCCGATCCACGAAATTCATGCAGGAGGCTTGGCCCCCGCTGCTGCAGCTGCCGCCGCCTCAGCCTCAGCCCCTGCCACCGCAGCGGCTTAGTCCGGAAGGACATCTGGTCTAATTAGCATATTATGCTTTTATTATTATAGATTGTAAATGTATTTATGTATATTTATGTAAAATGCTTTCTCTAGTCTCACTGTTAACCTGACTTTTTTTTTTTTCCTTCTTTTTACAAAGAAGTTTAATCAAATAGTATTTGGGGGCAAGAGAAAGAGGGAAAGGGCTGCATTTTTAGGCTTCCCTCAACCTTGCCCACTTTACTGTCCTCCTCACCTGCTCGTCACATCAGCAGTTGAACATACAGAGGTTGAAATAGTGCATATGATAACTTGAACCTCTTTCTGAATGTTTGTTTTAATCTCAATTTATAAGGAAGATGCTGGGCCTCAGATCTATTCCATCACAAACTTTAGAAGTGTTTCCATTTATTTATTGTAGTAAAATACACATAATATTTATCATTTTAACCATTTTTAAGTTGTGCAGCTTTTTAAGTGCATTTGCATTGTTGTACGACCATCACCACCATCCATCCCCAGAACTTTCCCTCTCCCCAAACTGGAATTCTGTTCCCTTCCAACACTGGTAGCACTGGTTCCCCTTTCCCACCTGAATCTTTCCCCCCCTTCCCCCTATCCCTCCCATACTCCTCCGCAACTACCATTCTGTTTTCTGTCTTTATGAAATTGGATACTCTAGATAAAAGTATTTTCATTTTAAATACAATTCTACTTAAACAGATTTACAGAATGAATTGTTATCTGTAGATGAGTCATTCCTGAGTAATTTCAAACGACTAGGGTGATCATTTTCTCAGAGATTTTTCTTAGTCTTTTTTAAGCTCTAATAGATATTATCAGATGGTTCAGTAGTGTTCAAGCCTAAAGTTTTCTGTTTTCTTTTTGCAGAATGAGCAGGCGTTTGAGGAAATTTTCCAGAATGCCAACTTTCGGTCTTTCGTGTTCAAGATCAGAGTCAAACTGGAGACATACAATGTGAGTAAGGCCACCGGGCGGCAGAAGGGTTAGCGTGGGAAACTGCTGTGTGCCACCCACATGTCTCTGCCCTAAGCTAAGCACCCTGCGTGTGGCTCTCACTGAGTCTTCCCAACACGGAGGTACCATGATCATCCCCGCGGTAAGGTGAGGCAATGGACACAGAGATTAAGTCCCCTGTCCAGTGGGGGACATCTAGCGGGGGGAATGCTATATGGGCTTTTCAGTTAAAACCTGGGGCTTTTTGTTGGCGTGCTGACCAAGAATGGTAATATGTCTAGTGGATTCGCATCTTCCACAAGGTTTGGGTTCTGAAGTCGGTATATGAAACAAAGACCATATGTAGTTAAAATTGCCCACAGCGTCATCTAGTTGTATAGTCAGAATAAAATAGCATGTGTTAAGCATTTACTTTCTGACAGATACTGTTCTTCACCTTTTCTTTCCATCTAATCATCTCATTAGATCCTGACAGTAACCCTATATGTAGGAACGATTGTTATCTCCATTTTACCAATGAAAAACGTTGCCTACAGAGAATAAGTAACTTGCCTAAAGTCATATCCTAATGAGTGGCGGAGCCACGGTTCCAGCCCAGGCAGTCCATGTCAGAGCTTTGCTCTTCGCCATGCCTAGAAATGTGACTGTGTTGAGTAATTACTGAGCCCACGGAAGTGGGGGGGCCCTGGAGCTAGACTCTGCCACCTTGGTGGGCATCACTCCGTTCTGCCTCGAAAGGGACTGTTCCATTCTAGTTGGCGGGTCTGGGGAGAACCCAGTACATCTCTACTTGTTTCAGAGTTAGCACGTTCCATTCTGTTATTAGACCTCCACCTTCCTGCCTGGTGGTAGATGTGCTTGTTCTTACAGGCATTCACTGAGATAGGGAGCCAGGCGTCCGTGTGATAGTGGATTTCTGAGTGAGGTGGGTCAGGAGGGATTGGAGGGCCATGCAGTCCCTCCCTGGTGAGGACGGGGACGCTGACGTGCAGGGAGCTGCCTCTCCGGCCGAGCTGAGATGAGACCTAACCCAGGTCTCCCTCCTCGGCCACAGGTGCTTTCCGTTCACACCACACTCAGCTTTCAGAACTCGCTGTGTGGCTTTAGGCAAGTGACTGGCCTTCTCTGGGTTCTCCTTTCCCCCTCTATAAAGAATGCATTGAACTTGACCAGCCCTCTCAGGTCCATCCCGTGTGGATCCAAGGTTTCTGAGGGTTGGGGGTGTGAGGAAAGGATGGAAGGGCCTGTGTTGCAGGGAGGCCTCTGTCCACCCTCCCAGCCCCCGAAAGTCTGACCGGGCGCTCGCGATTTTTTCCTTGATTGGGATGGCGGACTCCTGGGTCCAGCCTGTGTCCGCATTTCCTCCTGCGGGATCATTGAAGCCGTTGAAGCAAAACGGGTTATCGCCACAGCTCCATGCCACGGGCTCCCCTTTGTTCACAAACCACCTTTCTCTTCTCCAAGGATGAGTCTCGCATTAAGGCCACCGTGATGGACGTGAAGCCCGTGGACTACAAAGAATACAGCAGAAGGTTGATCACGAACATCAGGAGGAATGCAGCGATGTGAGGAGAGCCATGCTGACGGGGCCGAAGTTTTGGAAATAAAAGAGTCGAAATGAAATTGATTTCTTCTCACCCCCCCGTGCGACGATTTCACATTAGCCTCGCAGTGGCTAGAGCCTCTTTATGGTGGACTAAGCAATTTCCTCTTTTATGTGCATCTCAAAACCCATTGGTAGGCAGGCCAGGGCAAACATGCTCAGATGGCCGCGGTGTAACGGGCAGAGCGAAGGGTCGGCTGGCGGGCAGGGTAGCACCAGCCTCTCCGTCTTCAGGCTTTTGTCCTTTTTATTGAGACTTCATTATCTTCAAGCGGGAATTATGTCACATGTAATTGACCCTAATTCTGCAGACAGTGAAGTAAATCGTAGGACTGGAGCTTCTGCTCCCCCGGTGGGGACACCTTCACAGCTGGCTTCCTTCCCGGGAGGGAGCGTGAGAGGTGGTTGTGTGGAGCCTGGGTGTTTGGTAAGCGCGTCTCCTTCCCAGAATTCAGAGGCCCTCCTTGCAGAGGGGCCACGTCGTTAATGCCCGGAATGCCAATGGGATAGAATTATTAATCAAAGACTTATCTCTCCTATCTGAAGAATATCCTTCCTCCAGGGCCTCCTAGACCAAGTCAGATGGGTCTGATATTAATCAAAATTGTCTCTTCTGAGGACGGCTGATAAGCATTGACTTGCCGTCCCCTGGGGGCATCCAGGCACCTACAAAGCTTTGCTTTCGTTTTCACTTCAATTAATAATTGCATTTCGGAGGGTGAACCCACACCTGCTTTCTACCTTAGTACATGTTTCTTGCATTTGTGTTTCATTTCTGGATTTAAACTGTGTTCAATAGGTAGTGTTTTGCCTTTGCTTTAATAAACAGTGTGTTTGCTTGTGAATCCTCCTTTCTCTGAATGCAGAGGGTCCTTGTAACCAGAAAGCAGTTAATTAGCTTCCCTAATAAACGCTCACCGGGGAAGACGTTAACTCATTGCAGACTCCAAGATTGGTCCGAGGCGCGAAGATCATTCTTCCTGACATTTGAACCCTGAAACGCATCTTGAAAAGAATAAAACACTAAAAACAAAAAGCCATTGTACCCAGGAATGCCGATGATAAGACACTTTGGGGTTTTACTGATGTTTACATGGCAGCCTAACACCGACCAGGCTTTGGAATGTGCACAGACAGCGAGCCGGTAAGAAAACAGTAATTACACTGCTGGGCTCTTCCGTCAGCAAGAGCATGCCTGCTCCGTGTGTCCCTAATCATACTGATTACCTGTCTGGCGGCTGCAGCCCACCGCTTGGCATTGGCTGCACATCCCTCCCCGGGTGCCCAGGCGGCACTGCATCTGGCCCGGAGGTAGGACCTGGGTTTTGATTTGGGCGAGCAGCGGGCGGAGGCCCTCTGTGGAGCTTCAGTGATGGAGGTCCGGTCTGTCTCAGCCTCAGCTGTCCTCTGAGGAGGATCCCGCGGCTCCAGGCAGGATGGCTCCCACGGTCAGAACACACACGGAGGGTCTTTTTCTCAGCCCGCTAATGGTTTAGGCACATTCTAGTCTCAGAAGACGGTCACTGGGCTGCACTTGAATCTCCGGCCGAGGCCTCGACAGTCTTTGTGGAAGTTCTTACCTGACTGACCTGGCTTGAGCACTATTCTGGATGGACAGATTGTGGGTTGGAAGTGATAAACTAGTCTCCATTCCAGTGACCAGTCTCTTTTTTTTTTTTTTTTTTTTTTTAATCTTTATTATTGATTTTTTACAGAGAGGAAGGGAAAGGGATAGAGAGCTAGAAACATCGATGAGAGAGGAACATCGACCAGCTGCCTTCTGCACACCCCCCACTGGGGATGTGCCCGCAACCAGTGCACATGCCCTTGACCAGAATCGAACCCGGGACCTCTCAGCCCGCAGGCCAATGGTCTATCCACTGAGCCAAACTGGTTTTGGCCAGTGACCAGTCTTTGATACCACTCCTCCCCCCTCACAAACACCACTTCTGTCTGCTGGCCATGTTGCCCTGTCGTGTCTCAAGAGGGTACCAGTCAGCGTGTGTTCTCAGTGACTGTGATGAAACCAGCGTTTCTACATGGATGTGATGAGAAATGCAGCAGGTTCTGGGGCTGGGCGGCTCCCTCCGGGGAGGGTGGTTAGCAGGTTTTCCTGCTAAAAACCAGATCGCTGGGAGAGGAGCATCGGAAATGGTCTCCACTGTTATGCTTTTAAGAGAGCGAGGTCCCTGAGGGTTGCCTAAATAGATTCTGGCCCACAGCTCTTAGGATTGTCTTGGATGTAGTTTACTCTAAAGGCTGTTCATGCTGTTCTGTTTCTCATCTTTCACTTCGAGATCGATGCTTATTTTGTGTACACCATGACATCAGCGTTAGGCAATTAGAGGAGAAATCTAATCATTTCGCCTTTATTTTAAATGGTTCTTGGATTCCCTCCAGTCTCGTTGTGAAGGAGGCAGGGAAAATGTCTAAGGGTAATAATCTGATTTCTGCCCATATTTTTAGTGTTTTATGCTTCCCGTTAAAGCCTTGCTAATCTCCAGAGTGCTGTCCTGACTTTTTGGAACTGCCGGGTCAAACATTTCCCCTCCCCTATCTCCCCCCCCCCCCCCACATTGGCCTGTCTTCGGAAAGGATAAATAATATTGATCGTGGTATTTAATACACCAATGAAACCCATGGCTATTGACTACATAATTAATATACTGTCTAAAAGTGAAGTTTGGCAGTCCCGTATGTAAAGGTTTATATTGACTTGTGTTCCTTTGGCGATATGCCTTACAAGGTTTTATTTATAGAAAAAACAGGTTGCTCAGTCTCTTTTCACTTGTGAGAAGGCCGCTGCTTGCCTGGCGGATTGATTGTTTCCTTATCTCAGAGAGGATTTCTTCCCCACCCCCACCCTGCCATCTTTTTATGTGGTTGGTTAGCTCTTAGATTTATAACCCACTCTGTCGGTAGAGTTCTGGCTTTTATAAACATTTTTACTGAGTGTGTGTGTGTGTGTGTGTGTGTGTGTGTGTGTATCCTGTATCATAAAAGCCCAGCGACCATAATGGCAGTTGTGCCCGACCAGTCACTATGAGCTGCACTGACTACCTCTCGCCCAGCAGGCTCCAATCGCCTATGGCCAATGGGGACCCAGGGTGAGTGGCAATGGGGGTCAGGGCCAGCTGCTGGCAGCCAGGGTAGGCCTAGGAACTGACCTGCACACAACTTTATGCTCTGGGCCTCTTATTAGATATCCTATCTAATAAAAGTAATATGCAAATAATAATATGCAAATTGACCATCACTCCAACACACAAGATGGCCAACAGGGGAGGGCAGTTGGGGGTGATCAAGCCTGCAGGGGATGGCAGTTAGGGGTGACAGGCCAGCAGAGGAGGAAAGTTGGGGGTGACCAGGCCTGCAGGGAAGGGCAATAGGGAGTAACCCCGGCCTGCAGGGGAGAGCACTTGGGTGAGGGGGACCAGGCCTTCAGGGGAGGGCAGTTAGGGGGACCAGGTCTGGAGGGGAGGGTAGTTAGGGGTGATCAGGCCTTCAGGGGAGGGAAGTTAGGGGCAAGCAGGCTGGCAGGGAGGCAGTTAGGCATCAATCAGGCTGGCAGGGGAGTGGTTGGGGGCACTCAGGAAGGCAGGCAAGCAGGCAAGCAGTTGGGAGCCAGCAGTTCTGAATTGAGAGGGATGTCCGACTGCCCGTTTAGGCCCGATCCTGTCCTCCTTCCCTCCCTCCCTGAAATCAATAAAAATATATTTAAAATAAAAAGATGCACACTGTTTAAAAAAGAAAAAAGAAAGAAATAGGAGCTATTTGGATTCTTATTTCTTATGCAAGTAATTTGTGTTCATTGTAGAAAAATAACCTGCAGATAAGAACAGTTTTACCCATAATTCCACTCATCAGCAAGAATCACTTATGTATAGCTGACTACTTTTTTATTTTTTAATTTTTTTTTATTTTATTGATTTTTTACAGAGAGGAAGAGAGAGGCATAGAGAGTTAGAAACATCAATGAGAGAGAATCATCGACCAGCTGCCTCCTGCACACCCCGTACTGGGGATGTGCCCGCAACCAAGGTACATGCCCTTAACCGGAATCAAACCTGGGATCTTTCAGTCTGCAGGCCGACGCTCTATCCACTGAGCCAAACCGGTCTTGGCTAGCTGACTACTTTTTACTAAGCATACTTTACTCCTAGCATGGACATTCTATTTCAATAAAAACAGACTGCACAATTTGGGTTGGTACGTGGCTATATGGATGTGTACATTTATTGAGCCAATTTGCTTTCGCTGGATGCTTATACTCTCTGATTGTTATCCTCAGCACTCAGCCTTCGATGGGCCTGAGCAGGTACCCTTTGTGGGGCCGTGAAAATGCCTTCTTTCCTTGTTCTCTTAGGTTCCCTGGTTGCTTTTCTTTGCCTCAGTCAGGTGATAACGCCTGTAACTTGTGTAACAGGAAGGGCTGGCAGGTACTTTGAACAGGTCCCAGGATCCTCTGGAGCAGAAGCAGAAGCAGGCCTGATGGAGGGAGGAGAGGGGAGAGAAGGCCATCATGGTTCACCACCCGAGGGGGTGGTATCTGCAAAGAGGCCCAGGCCCCTCCCCTCTCCCCCTGTTTTCTACGAGTGTGGCAGAAATGGCCTCTTTTAGAAATCAACCTGATTCTTTACCTAAATCTACTCGTCAATGATTGTTAAATCTCTTAATTACATTTGTGAGGTGGGTTTTCGTGAAGTCGTTGAGGAAAAAGTATGCAGCACGTGTCTTCACGGGCTGCCTGTGGCACCCTCTGTGTAGGTGGTTTCAAAGCCAGATACCTCACCCCCAAGAACCGTGGTCTATTTGGAGCAAGGCTTGGAGCTCAGTAGCAGTATCACAAGTCAAATTAAAATCCAATACACGGGAGATCGGCTGGAGACCAGCGTCACCAGGAAAGATTCCGCAAAGAACTGGGTGATGTGAAACACACACGCCCTGCAGCGCTCACGTAGGTCAA